CGCGCTCCCTCTCCGCCCTCGGCGCCGCTCCCGGCGTCTCGTTCAAGCATGCCTTCTCGTTCGGCATCCCCCATGTCCGGACACCCCTCTCTGCGCCCTGCGTCCGCGGTGTGCTACCTCCCCTGGAGCGAAGAGATGGATGAGGCTGAGTTTGCTCTGCAGTCTGCCCTTGTGGCCACTGTTGCGGGCAACCGCAGCGGCGTCTCCGTCGACGAGGTCACGGCGGCCCTCTGCGCGTCCTTTGGTTTTCGCCGTGGTGACTTCTCTGTCCATCCCCACTTCCCCGGTGACTTTCTCGTCCGGTTCCTTTCCAGAGATGACCGCGCCCGGGCCGCGGCCAGCAGCCTTCGCGCCCCGCGTTTCCGTCTCCTGTTCAGCCCGTGGTGCCACCTGACGGGCGGTGAGCCGGTGACCGCGCGCTTCCGCATGCGCATTTCGATCCGCGGCATTCCGGATCACGCTTGGTCACGCTCCTCCGCTGAATTTCTGCTCACTCCCTTCTGTCTCATCGAGGATTTGGCACCAGAGACGAGCTCCGGCCGAGACCTATCGGTGTTTCGCCTGTTCGCCTCGATGGCCAACCCGGACTGCATTCCGCGCTCTTTCGAGCTGCTCTTGCCGGCGCGCGACGGCGTAGACCACCGTGCCGACCCTGACCGTGTCTCTCGCTTCGCCAGGCCGCTCATCCGCTACCCTATCTCCATCCACGTCGAGGAGACAGAAGATTACCGCTTTCCGTCCCCGCCGTTGCCGTGCCTGGATCCTGGGTGGTGATAACCCCGACCGCGACTCCCCTCCGGTCCCAGGCATGTGGCCGCGTCAACATGAGCATCCCTCCCGGCACTCTGGTGATGCTGCTCCTGGACGCCGACGGCGCTCCGACTCCGGTGGTGGCGCTGGCTCCCGCCACCGCGAGCTTCCCTTTCGGGGTTGGCAGGGCGTGCTGGGCCCGCACCCTGACGCCGCACCGCCTGCCACGCGGGTCCCGCTTGCCCTCCGCCTGACGTGGCCCGCGGCGCCTTTTGACCAAGCAACGACCGAACGTGAGCCTTCTTCCACGCCGCCCGTTCAAAATTTGGAGCTGGCCACGCGCCCTGCGTCCCCGACACGTGTTCCCCCAATTCCGCACGCGACACGCGAAATCCCCGTGTCTCCGGAACCTTCCCAGGTCGCAGCAACGGCCAATCTAGCCCGGTTGTCAGCTGCGCCTTCCGAGGATCCCGAGGCGACCCCACCTGTCTCACCTCTGGTGGTGGATGTGATCCCCCAACCCCTGCGCCAGATAGCCCCGCCGACCCTATCCCCAGGCCCGCCTCGTGTTCGCCTGGGGCCTCGGCCTCGCAGCCCACCTGCTACCCTCCTCGTGCGGTCCGCGAGGAAGATCCCCTCCCTGTCACCCCTGCTACGGATCCCCAGGCCACCTTGGTAGACACTCCTTGTCGGCTTGTGGCAGATCCTACGCCCATGCATGCTGATCCGCTCGCGACTGTGGCCCAGGATAGGCCACGTCCCCCTCCCCATGCACTGCCATGCAACGTGCGGATGCCCACGTCGCCCCTCTGCATGGTTTCCTGGACTCGATCAGCTCGGCGGTGCAGCCCGTTCTGCCCACCCCTACACGACGAGGACGATGCGCGGTGCCTCCCAACTTCACCCCGCGCCGAAGCATACGGATCGCGAAGTCCGATCGTGGCCTTGACTCAGAAACTAAGGCTAAGCGTGTCTTGCTCCTCCGCTTAGGCCTTTTGAAGGACGACGAGTCAGTCTCAGATGCCATCTTGGATCGCTACTACAAGCTCTTCGAGCGCCCTCTCGCGACCGAAGTGGTCTGCGCCTTTGCCGATTTCTACGGATGGCGCCTACCCCAGGCCGTCATCGATGGATTAGCTCCCCCCAACCAGTCGTGCCAGCTCTCGGCATGATTGTGCTCTCCTGTCCGGACTCCCGTGTAACAATGTTGTTTCTATGGATGTAAACCTCAAGATCATGTTTTGGAATGTCCGCGGACTCAATAGCTGGGCCAAGCGTACTGCGGTTTGCACTATGATCTCCTCCGCGCCCCCTTCCATAGTGTGCCTACAAGAGACCAAGCTCACAATGGTTTCGCCGGCTCTCATCCTCGAGACTCTTGGTGGCTCTTTTGACGGCTTCTACTTCCTCCCGGCGATTGCTACCCGGGGCGGGATCATTCTTGCCTGGCAAAGTTGCCAAATCTCTCTCTCCAACCCCATGATTGGCGACCACCACGTGCCTGCGGTGGCTTCTTCGCCCTCGGGCGGGTAGCACTGGTGGGTCACTGGCATATACGGTCCCAGGGAGATGACGCGAAACTGGCCTTCCTCTCTGAGCTCCATGACCTGCGCTCTAGCATCTCCGGACCCTGGATCATTGGCGGCGACTTTAATATGATCACCTCGCTGGATGACAAGAACAATGATCATGTCTCCCGCAGAATGATGAACCGCTTTCGCCGTTTCATCACCGACCATGGGCTCTATGATATCTACATCCATGGCAGGCGTTATACCTGGTCCAACGAGCAAGCGAACCCTACCCTTGTTCGCAATGACCGTGTTCTCTGCACCCCCTCTTGGGAATCTTCACACCCCCACTGCCTCTTGAGATGCCTCTCTTCTGCGGCATCTGACCACTGCCCTTTGCTTATTGATTGTGACGTTCGCTCCGCCGGAGGCAGGCGCTTCCACTTCCAAAGGTTTTGGCCTGGTTTGGATGGTTTTCAGCACACTGTTGAGCAAGCCTGGGCTTCGGTCGCCCCCGACCCAGACCCCTTCCGATGCTTCTTCACGCGTCTTAAAGCTACGGCACGTGGTCTTCAAAGGTGGAGCTCGCGGGTTACTAATAACCTTTACACCCAGCTTGGTGTGGCCCGAGAACTCATTGCGCGTTTTGACGTCGCCCAAGACTTGTGCCCCCTGTCTACCGCCGAGGCCTGGCTCCAGCGCGAGCTCAAACGCAAATACCTCGGCCTCGCGTCCCTTCATCACTCCATTGTGCATCAGCGCCTGCGTCTACACTGGCTCAAAGAGGGGGAGGCGTCCTCGGCCTTCTCCAAGATCCACGCTTCGCACCGCGCAAAGAAGAACACGATCATCGACCTCGCCATCAATGGGACGCGGGTTTCTGGAGAGGCCGACCTTGCTCGCGCCGCGTTTGATCATTTCTCCGCCATCCTCGGATCTCAGGATGGACGCACTGCCACGCTTAATCTGCAGGCCATCGGCCACCCTTCCTTTCTTCTGAGTGAGCTCGAGGCTCCGTTCACCTCCGATGAAATTTGGGAGGCGATCAAAAAGCTCCCTTCGGGCAAGGCGCCAGGCCCGGACAGATTCACCGCTGAATTTCTTCGCTCTTGTTGGGATATCATCAAGCACGACCTGTGCGCTGTCTTCGATAGGCTATACTCTCTCAATGGTCAGGCGTTCCAGAGATTGAACGAGGCCCTGATCACTCTGATCCCCAAGAAGCCCGATGCTGCCATGTTGTTCGATTACCGCCCTGTCAGTCTTATTCACATTGTGGCCAAGTTATTTGCCAAGGATCTCTCCTTACGGCTGGCTCCTAGACTTGGCGAAATGGTCTCCTCCAACCAAAGTGCCTTCATTGCGGGCCGGAGTGTTCATGACAACTTCCTCCTTGTCCAGCAAACAGCGCGGCAACTCCACCGACTCCGGCTCCCCCGAGTCCTCCTCAAGCTGGATATCGCCCACGCCTTCGACTCTGTTTCATGGCCGTTTCTTCTCCAGATCCTTCAGCATCTTGGCTTCGGACCCTGTTGGTGTGAGTGGATTTCCATCCTTATATCCACGGCCTCTACTCGCGTGATGATCAATGGTGTACCCGGCCCCCCCATTGCCCACTGCCAAGGCCTTCGGCAAGGCGACCCCGTTTCACCTATGCTCTTCGTCCTTGTGATCGATGCCCTCAACTCCCTCTTGCAGCATGCGGTGACCGCGGGCATCATTCGGCGCCTCACTGACAGGATGGCTGCATCGAGTATTTCTCTCTTTGCGGACGATGTGGTCATTTTCT